GATTCAATTGAGAATCGGTTCGCGACCGTACGATGTTGCTTATCAAGTACGATCCCCAGTTGAGTGAAGTGCCATTTGAGGATGCAATGACCCTCCACACGGACCGAGGAAAAGGAGTTAAAAGAAGCCCTTATGCGAGTGCTAAGAAGCAGAAATTGCTCTTGCTCGGTCACCGATAGTAAGAAACAAATCCCACTTGTACTAAATACGACCTCTCGGCAAGCAAAAGCAGAAAGAGAGAAAGCCTCTCCTTGTCATAAAAGGTAGTGATGTGCTTAAAGTTAAAATCATGTTTGCGAAAGGCTTCCCCTATTAGTTTTTGAGACTCATGCTTTGTTAATTGCTGATGATTGGTGTAAGTAAGCCAGATTGTCCTCACGAGATATGCGCCTCACTGACGTGGTTAGATTCTCCTAATAATTGTTGCACCATAAGTTGTTAACCACCCAATACTGACGATCGAAATTGAGTGTTGCTATTTGAGTTTTTGATGGATTTGAGTCAGTCAATGTTAAATGGTTGCAGAGACCTTGAGTGTGGGGTGAAAGGTATGATCATGATAGCACAACTTGTCCTTTGAGAAAGAAACTACTGATTACAACAAGAGTACAAGGAAAATTTTGTTTTGTTTTGAGGTTTGATTGTTGAGTCTGTGGTGCGTCATTGTTTTGGATGATTATGTGTTTGTGTCTTTTGAGTCGTTGCTTAGGGACAAGCAACAATTGAGTGTGGGGTTGTGATAATCGGCTTTAACATATTGCATTTTTGGACTTTATGTGATTATCCGTGGTATGTTTTAGCCAATTGGTGCTATTTTAGGGCTCGCTAACCCGGAAATGGTTGAAAAACCATTACTTCCTAATACCATGAGTTTGATATGTTACAGGTGGAGAAAACACGAAAAAGAAGCGATTGTCTCAGGGGGAATTAATGGGCCGAAGGAGTTGGAAATTAATTGGCTGGTGGCGGCTATTTTTGGGACTTTGACATATTAGGAGTGGGCTGGACGAAGGGCAAAGGAGACGGAATTGGACTCTTTTTGGACGGGCCAAGGGAAATTAATCAAGAGGGCTTTTGGCTGGGGAAGTAAAAGGAAAAAGTCTCTGGAGGAGGCAACAATTTAATTTGGGCCATTCTTTAGGTAAAGGAAGAGAGGAGACGAATGAGGGCTGGCAATTATTTGGGGGCTCAATAATTCTTGGGCCGAGATAGAGAGCAGGGCGGAATTATTTGGACGGAACAAAATTCCGAGAGAAGGGAGTTTCTGGGGGAGATCATTCTGGGGAAAAGAAGCAGAGGCGCAGCACAAGAAGCTGGGAACGAGCGGATAGCTTCGTTCGGCGATTGGTGATCGAGATTTCCAAGGCTTGAGCTGAGTTCAACGAGAGCGATTAGTTGGTTGGATTTTCTGAACCGAACTAGTTGTTTATTGTTGATTTAGAACATGATGAACAAAACCCTAATGTTTTATCTTAATTTCGTCATGAACTAAACCCCGAATTCTGGGGGAAACACCATAGGATGTAGCTAGTTCTTGATTTGATGGATTGATTCGTATGTCTTTTCTTCCAATCTCTATTGCATGAAATTGTTTAATGCGTTGTGTTGACTGGCCACCAATACAATGATTTGTAGTTAATTAGGTTATTAGCGACAGTGAAACCCTAATAACTGAACCTATTTCATGTGACATAGTAACTTATCGAAGCGACAGTGGATTAAATAAGGTGCTATGCGGTCTTAAATAGGATATCGGTCTTAAGGCTAAGTGATTAATTCATTGAGCTACGACAGTAGGATTTGAATTGATTATTTAGTACGTAGTAATTCCCGACAGGGATAGCTAGCACCATAGTGATATCCTGGCTGTAGAGATATGGATTAAATTGATTTGAATATGTGAATTAATCTGGATAGGATAGGTAGTGAATCCTGGTGTTTCTCCCAGAGCTTTCTCCATTGAATTTCTCCCGACAATTTTCATTTAGTTAATTTGTTTAGTTTATTTTGCTTTTAGAAATTAGTCTCATTCAACTATTTTCACTTATAGTTTGCTCATAAAATTGATAGAACTTAAGGTTGTACCAGTCCCTGAGAGACGATACCCGGACTTTCCGGTTTTACTACAAGATAGGATTAAGGCATACGCTTTTGCCCTATCACTAGCCACCAGGCACGTGTTAGCAACCTGGTACCTTGCCTCCTTGCCAGCTTGGTACCCTGTCAGTTTGCCACCAAACTTGTCTTGTCGGCTTGGTACTCGACCAGCTTGCCACCAAGCCATCATCATTTTAGTCAAAGTTCTAAAGACTTAATTGCATACCCCCCGACTTGTTATGCTTATGTCTTGACACCTAGCCTATTAAGATTGGCCGACCATTTAGATTAAGGAAAGGAGGCGGCAGGGCACTGAGACTACGGAGTGGTGGTGGGCCACTTAGGTCAGGGAGATGGAGCTCAGCCACATAGACCAAAAATAGAATCAATCAGGCCCAACTCGCTCATTTTATGTTTAATGTTCAGCTAGCCTTATAAAGCCGCCAAGTTGCAACTCTCAAGCAGAGAAAACCATATTTCTGAAACGCGAAACTCAAAACTGCTTTTCACTATTGAGGTTTCTTTGTACAATTTGGCTATAGAAAGCAGAGTTATTCTATTATTAGGAAAGAGATCCGTGTGGACTGTGGAATGTCTAGTCGTATTAGGCACCTCAATTAGGAGACCGGAATGTACGCACAACATTATTACGTATAACCCTACACTTACCATTTATGAAATGCAAGTAATTTTCCACCAATTAATTTTAAGTATTTCTTTGGTATTAAGTCGTAGTTTAATTTTTTTTATACAGATAAATCTGATTAATTATGTTCTTCAAAATAACATCCATTTGATAAAAAAAAATTTGAGGCTAACTCCACTAGAACTAGAACACCCCAACTATAAGAACTTATCATTTTTATCTTCAAGTATTCAATATGAAAATTCTATAACGACATATGAGACTATTGTGTCATTTGTATGCGGAAGTTTTTGTTGACCATTAGATATAACGATTGACCAAATGGTGCTCCACTCGATATTGACTTTTGGTGACGTGGCACAAACGTGTTAGCTACTTTGATGCCATGTCATTGACACATCATATTATTTGTTATTTAAGATTTTAAACTAAAAAGCATCAAAAGTAATAATAATAATAATAATAATAATAATAATAATAATAATAATAATAATAATAATAATAATAATAAACATCATCCCTTCTCATTTCCGTCCTCCTTGCAATGTCTTCCTAATCGGCACATCGCCACGAGCGGCTCCCCCTTCTCTACTACTCCACCCGTCAGTGCTTCTCAAAGTTTCGACCACGGAATGTGAGGATCGGGTGCGGGGAAAATACTCGATCCCGCAGACTGCCATTGCATGCCTCCGCACGTGCTGCTCTGTCAGAGGAGGATAAAAGCTATGCTATGGTACCTATCACGGCGGTGAACGCAACGCTCGAAGTGGAAGATAATCATAATGGCCCGTGAATTGAGCCTCAGCCTCAGGTGAACTATTCGTCTGTCCAGTAAATTCGTTGTCCAGGAGCACACCTTTGATAGCGGATATGGAGATGGACACCGACGGATTCAGGACACGGTAGAGCACTGGACCACATTTAAAGAAAGGCGGAGAGAACACGAAAACGAATACAAAAACAAAATATTTACAAGTACTATATTCGTTTTTGGATCCAGACAGGGCTGATGCTTTGAGATGTTGAGGATGATTGGAGGACTTACAGTCCTTGTAATCTATCCGACTATTGGAGTACTTGTCTGTCTTATGTCCGTATCAGGCGCTGACAAGGAGGGGATGCTGGGGCTGGACGATCTGGTGGAAGCAGGGGAAGAGGAAGACAAGCTGCGAGGCTTGGAGGAGGTTTTCCGCCTGAGAGCGAAGCTCATTAAGCTTGGCCATGATCTCGCGATTCGATTTGAATGGCGACGAGTTACGGGTCATGAATGATGCTGCTTTGATGAGTTTGATGATTGCAAAACCGGACAAAACCCCAAATCAATTCCATCCATTCTTCACAATTGTCTATTGCATATATTGTTACTTACTGTTATGACACGAATGGATCCATTGATTACTCCCTCTTTCCATGATGAAGAGAGACAAGAAAGCATCGGCGAGCCGGCTTTTCAAGGTTCTGGTTTTCGTTCTCATTCTCCGAACATATAGCTGTCTGAGACGGCCAAACTTGTAGCAGACTCCAGATTGGGCGAGAGAGATCTATTCTAAGCTGTAGCATAATCCAATAATTGGGTCGGGCGTAGAGGTGGCAAATGGCAATTAGGATCGAATCCATAAATTCAATCCAATCCATCCACCAAATTATCCACATAATCCAATCCATTTAAATCCAATCCATTTGATCCAATTCATTTGATTCATGAATCCACTAATCCAATCCACGAACTCACGAATCCAATCCAATTGCCACCTCTAATCGGGCGGGTTTCCTGGATCAGACAGAGTACATACATACAATAATTTCTTAGAAGAAGAATGAAAAGGACCTGGCGAGGAATCTGGTATTTTGAAGGCCAGGTTCTCTCGGGGGCTCAAATCTGTTTTCCATTTTGCTGGCGCCAGCACAAGGAAATTATTGCTCTCTTTTTTATTTTTATAATGAAAATAAAGAAGCTAGAATAAATGCATGGTCTAAAAATCTTTATGATACACCTCATGTATACTAATAATTTAAACCAAACTTACCAATTATATATACTAATAATTTTTCTTGTTGTTTGTAGCAATAAATAATAATAAGATTATTGTGATTAATAATAATAATAATAAAGGAGAGCCTGAAATGGATTGAACTTCATTCCTTTGCCTAGTTCTAGTTGGACACGATGCCCATAAATAGGATATTAAATTCCATAAATAATCCGTTGCTATCTTCGAGTGCAGCCAAGATGCTTATACGGCTATATCTATGAATGATTAGACTCGACAGAGACAGTGTTTTCCTACGTTCAGTCTCCTTTCATTTGGCCTGCTTGCCCTCCCCCAAGTACACGCCCATTTCCTCTCTCCTTCTTCTTCTTTCTTCTCTTCCTCCTTCGTCTTCCTCGATTGTCCGCAGAAGAAGCAGAGAATAGATCAAGGGGGGATCAAGTTATGTCATAAGTGGGAAGAGCAGTGAGCTGCTGCAGTGATCATTCTGGTAGACAAGGCTAAATAGACTGAAAGCCAACAACAAACAAGATGGGAATGATCAAACTCAATGAAAGAAGGGTGAGTCCTGAGATTATGGTGGAACCAACACCTGCTGCTGCTGCTGCTGCTGCTGACTTGGGTATGTATCCTCTTTCTGTCTCTAACTGACATGCGTTGCAATGATAATGATTTGACAACCAACCCAGATTCTCAACCAACCTGACCATCTACCTGCATATACATCTACCATGCTCTTCCCACAGACTCCAGCAGCAAGGAGGAGAGTTTTCAGGACTCTCGAGCCTATTTGGCTTCGGATTCTGAGGATGATTACTACAGTGTCAAAGGTGGTTAGCCTTCATCACTACACAGTCTCTCTATCTGGAAACTTATCCATATATCATTCTTTGTAATATTGTCTCTCTGTCGTCCGTTATCCTTTGATACATCTCAAACCAATGTAATTCTCATGTGCACTAATATGAGCAAAAAAAAGTGCATGAATTTGTGCGAAAAATCTAATCGTCACTCTAATTGTTTCCAAAATGTGGCAGGTACTCCAAGTGTGGCTTCAAGCAGGCCGGGAACTCCCCAGAGAAGGAGAATATGCATCAAGAATATATTCTACCGTTCGATGCTGGAGCGCAGCAAAATCCATATGATTCCACCACCACCACCAACAACAACAAGAGCAACAACAATTGGCCACGTCGAAGCACCCGCACCACCAGCAAGGGAACAGAAGCCCCTCATTGAATTCTTCACAGATCCTTACTGGATCGAAGAGATCAGCACTGATGGAGACGTCAGCGGTGGGGCTCATCCAACAATCACCACCACCACCAGTAAGCAGCTGAAGCTGGTGGAGTTCCTTCAAGACAGTTTCTGGAAGAAGGAATTTTTCCTAGCTCCATCCCCACATTCCAGGAAAGCAGCAGCAGCAGCATCTTCTTCCCCTGTCCCAGGTGGTGCTGTTGTGGTCACAGGTCTGAAATCTGGGAACAAGAGGGTTCAGAATGATGGATCATCATCTAAATCTGCTAATGATGATCACGACCAGCGCCATGGCAGCAGCTGCTGCTTTCCCAGCTTTGCACCCAGGTTCTGGTCCAAGAAGAGAAAGACCAAGGTTGCCCCTTAAAAGTTAAAAGTGGCAACGAACTAAAAAGCTGCCTGCATACACCACCAATTTTCTGCGGCTGCTGCTTCTGTTCTTTTTTCTGATTCATTCGCTGAGTTATGGGTGTGTTTTTTTTTCTGTTCCTTTTTTGTGCTGGAACTTCCATTGCTATCATTTGTTGATTTGGGCAAAAACGTTCTTTTTTTTTTTTTTTTCTTCTTCTTTTGATACTGCACTATTATTATGACTTCCTCTTCCTTTTCTTTTGATACTGAACTATTATTATGACTTCCTCACCATTTATCATGGGAGCAGAAGAAGAAAAAAACACATTTGTTTTGTGCTTCTTTTTAAACTTAGCATTCCTAGACATACCGGCCGATTGCTGCATCGAAACGGGAAAGGGAAACGAAAGCATAAACAGAGGGAATGATGCAGTAAGGTACTCACAATCACAGAGAGGCCGCTGCAACTCGATTGCCGAGCGACTCTGCTGTCGTGCTACTTCTGAACTACAGGTCCATTGATAAACCGTTCATCTTTTTTCTTTTCTTTTTTGTTTACCGACAGGCGACAATCCTAACAAAACCAGTTTTAAAACAGTTTATGGAGCTAAACAAATTGAACTATAACATATAATAATAATAAAATAGTAATAGTAATAGAGAAGTACAATCAATAGGGGCTGTATAATAATAATAATAAAATAGTACTTGTCAAAAAACATATATATGTATGGGACAAAAAGGGTGAAGGTATTGAAAACTACTAGTACTACATCTACAAGCTGAAGCTGCTGCTTTGTTAGGGCGAAGCAAGAATCACAAGCTAATCACGTTTTGCCGATCGGAGGGAGCAACACATTGCCACAAGGAGCGATATGATGGGATGTTGGCTGCATCAACGCCAAGGGCAGCAAGGTTTCGTCCATATTCCTGTTCATACAGCAAAAAAATGGAATCGGGCAGAGATTGAGTTACCAAGACACTAGAAAATGATGTTTTATTACCGAAAAAGAAACTTAACCTTTTACCTGGATGTCAAGGAACAATTGCATGCACATTTTGTCCGTGTCTGATATGCTGTGGTCCGACACATCAGAGCTCGTTCCAGCACGACGCTGGGCTCCCTGCCGAATTTTCTGGAGTGAAGACTCCGTTTTCCTTGCCTGAACAGAGGGAGAAAGAGAGAGTGGGGTAGTCAGGGAGGGAGGTGTGAATGCAAAGAGTTATGAAACGGAAATTATGTGGTTCGACCAGGCCAATGGTTTTCGTCGAAGATACTAACCAGACTAACGAGCTCAGTAGCTAATTTGCTATAGCAATCAGTTATTGCGATTGCGGTACCGAGAAGTAACTCTTTCCTGACTTCCTCGGTCAGGTAAGTCGTAGCACGCTCCCCCTCCAGAAAAGCCTGTGATCCATACATATGCCGAGGAAGTGTTGGAGTATTGTTTGAAGTGACCAGATCTGACTGTGCGGATATAAAAAGTCAAAGCAGAAAGTTGTAAGCAAAGACCATATACCTTTACTGGACGCAATAGCCCAGACACATAGGGCGAATGTCTCACAGGAAGAGGCTTGTTTGTCATCCTGTATGTCGCAGTTATCCCCTTCAATTGTTTCAAGTCCTACATGATATTGAAGCAAGAAATTAAACACTACTTACATCATTGATGCAAGTACACAGTCAAACAGCAAGAAGTTACACTCAAACGGGTAATCAAAGTCAACAATCATCATCGAAACCACCAAGGTCCAATACTTTATTCATTTTATAGCATACCTCTTCAGCCTTGTCCTTCAGGGTGTCTATAACAGCCTTCATGACTGGTAGTGATAAATCATTCAGAGACCTTCCACCTTGAAGAATGCTTTGTCTTATTAGGTCAATGAAGTCCGAGGAACACGAGGATAAAAGTTCCACTACATGCTCGAGGTAGTTCCCGCAGACTTCTGCGGAAAGATTCTTAATGTCGTGAATGATCTGCAGACATCAAAAAAGGAAAGATAAAAAAAAAATATATGTATATATATCATTCTTGGAATGTTGTCCGCACTAAAAGGTCATGCAAATTGAAGGGAGGAGGTCCACAACTTCAGTCATAGAAGGTAATAATGAGTGAGGTTGTTATGAGCAATCCAAACTTTAGAAAATCAGTAGACCAATAAACATGATGCAGTAAACTTCACCCCATGATCCATACATAAATGAAATCATCAAGAGCGGCTGAAATTGCCCATTCGCATCCAGGCGTTGAGCCTGTACTGCCAGTTTCCCGAGCAGCAAGTCCAGATGACAGCCAATTCGAATATCTGCTCGAATATTTAGAACCATAACTCTCCACAGTTATTTTTCATATAAACAAATCAAAGGTTAGGTCATTGAGGAAAGAAAAACATTCATCAAAGCAAGACTATCAAATATTTCCTTGTGTTGCTAAAAATACCAATTTACTAACCTTGACAGAAGCTGCAAGGTTAAGCGAAGGAATTTGTCAGAGCAAGAAATGATAAGAACATCTTCTCTCCAGCAAGATCTCAGGCTCTCTAGAAGAGTAGCACTCTGTTTTAATGTTAATGGTGGGGAAATATTATCATCAGACAAAAACTTCTGTTGCACAGGGACAAGGCTGGTTGCTGCAAGAGCAGTCTCTAGACCACCAGCTATCTCCTGAAATCTGAAATGTTTCCAAGGGCCTAGCATCAACTTATTTCGCTAGCCACTGTAAAAGCAAAAATAAACACACCTGGAATCTCCATACCTTAAGGAAAAATAAACTCCAACGTTCCATAGCTTCATGAATTCTACGTATACTGGTTCTGCTCTGAATTTTGTAACAGCAGATCTGGATGGACAATAGCCTTGCATGACAATGGGATGTTATAAATATAATGAACTTATAGCTTAATGTAATCACAACACTATGTTCCGTTGATTTCACTTATTATTCATTAGCCCAAGAACGATCATAATGATGTCTTTGTGACACAAGAAAGAAACTAAGTTGTTCGCGTACCTTCGAGATATGCCAAGAAATCTAAGCTTGATTTGTAATTTCTAAGGAATTCCAACGGTCGACCAGGTGAGAAGGCACCAGGCTTTCCCTTTTGAATTGAGGAGAGGACTTCTTTCAGAATGGAGTTGGAGAGGAAGTTGAAAACGTGCAACCCGGAATTTTCTATGGATAGCCAACCCATCCCCAAGTAACAACAAGGGAACAACAGAAAAAATTAGTAAAACCCATATTCTAGTTACACCTAACCAAGTACACGGATGAACATGACAAACAATAATCTCATGGAAAGTTAGATGATGTTTGACATGCAAGCATCTAGATGGATCATCAAATGACAAAGCTACCTCATAACTGTTTTCTGTCTTTTTAAGGCAACTCAAACAACTAGTTTCACAAAAGGTAAGCACGATATACCTTCAGAAGCAATATCTAGGAGGAATTTACAGTTTTTCTGGATGCATTGCTTGATCTGCAGATAATCAGTTTCAAGAATAACTGATGAAACCCCTGCACCCCCAGCTGAAGGTTCATGTGGAATAATTTTATGCATTAGAGGAGCTACGATTGTGGTGCGGAAAATCTCTTCCGCACTTTTGGTGTTGTCAATGGCAGCATATGCGCGTAAACAATTGTAAATGGCATTGTCATCATGATTTTCCAGCCCATTCACAAAACAGTGTCCTAAACTGGCATCCAGTAACTGACTTGCACTTTGAATCCTCTTCTCCATGTTATCAATGAAAGGAAGATTCTGTACTAGCATAACAGAGAAGAGACAATGAGCACATAAAAGAGTACACACTCCTCTATTAAAACACTTTAAAAACAGCAGTCAAGAGAAAGGCTAAAAATTTTATACCACAGGCAGATTGGTACTGAAGAAATACAAGGAAATCCGAGAACAGACCTGTGCGTGAGCAATATAGAACTTCAGCCGATTCATCTCGCTAGCAATTCTCTCCAGAAGCATGCTTTGAGTTTCTCTAAGATTCGCCCCGTTCTCAGTTGGCGGCACATAATTGCCATTGCTCAAAGCATTCTTCCCAATCAGATTAGCATCTCCATTGGACAAATCAGCAGGAACGCTTGGTAGCTCCTTTATAAGTTTCTCAACCTACATTCAATTCAGCCATCGCCCGATCCGAATTTCAAACGGTGATTCAATTCAAGGATCTGAAAACAGATTTGGTAAAGCGAATTCAATTTTTAGGGGGCCACATCTTACCTTGGAAACAACATGGAAGGTGTCCAAGAGCAGTTCCAAGACCTCTCGAGCGGCAGCAGCTTCGGATCTCTGCTTCAATCCATTTCTGAGAGAAACAAGAGAGCCTTCGACGCTGCCCCTGAACCCCTCGATTTTTTCCCGGAGCTCCAAAAGCGGAGCCCGCATCCGGACCACGGCGGCGTCTACATCGACAAGCTTGGTGCTGAGGTTGACGAAATCGGCGTAGTCGCGGTTGATTAAGTCGATGAGCTCGTGGTTGAGGGAAGCCAAGTGGCTCTGAAGCTCGGAGCGAAGGTTGTCGAAGGGAACAAAGGTACGGAGCTCAGAGATGTAGGATTCGGAGTCGAAGTTAGGGGAGAGGAAGAGGTTGGGCTTGAACCAGAGTGGGTGGCCATCTAGCGGCTCGGAGAAGAGGTCCGTGGCGGATCTCGGCGGCGTTTGAGAGGGAATTGTATCCGCCATCGGAGTTGAGTTACTGGGTAGTGTTAGTTGTGGTCGCGAAGAGGAAGATCGAAGATCAGATCGGAGGGGAAGCGAAGGAGCTGCCAAATTCTGGTCGCGCTGCCGTTTTCGCAGATTTATTTAGTTAGAATAAGAAGCCAGTGATCTGTGGGTAATTCACCTAAAAGTACACGATAACTTTGCATTTCCTACGGTCACAATGTTTTACTTTTTGCACAATTCCATAGGACTGGGCATGCGGGCGGATCATCCGCGGGTTTCGGCCGACCCACCCGCATTTGACCCGAATTTCGTTAAGTGGGTGGGTATGTGGGTGGGTGACGGGTTGCGCTGGGAGCCATCCGCCGGGTGATGGGTGGGTTGTGGGTGAGTGTGCGGGTGACCCGCTCAACCCAACAGCAAAAAAATCAAAGTAGTTGGCGCTAGAGAGAGGAGAGTGGAGACGTTAGATATAAACTCGGACTGCTCCTGGAGTTTGAACCTCAAAGCCAACCTTCCAAATAGAGATCCCCTCTTCTTCCCTTTACTTTTTCCTCTAATTCTTGTGCCTAGATCACCGCTCTTTCCTTTGTGGAATTATTTTCCTTAGTTCCTTGCACCTAATAATCGTCTCAATCTGTAGAAAACTCTTTTTTTTTTTTTTTGATCAAATCTGTGAGAAGTTTTATTACTCAGAACTTGCAGTTACATCGTCCAGCAGTAGCTAATCAACTAAACAAATCGGTGGCCTATCATACCAAACTTCTTTCTCATTCTCTCTAGTCTCTATGTGAGCCATGATGTGAGCAGCCTTGTTACACTCTCTAGGAACATACCGCCAAGCTCCTCCTCCCATTTCTCGAAGTAGTCTCAGAATATTTCGACATATAATGCCGATTTCAGTGTGGATGGTGTCCGCCTCCTCCAGCTTACGGATTAGCGAGAGACAATCTGTTTCCAGAATCATGTTCATCATATGGGACTCCTGGGCTATCTGCAAACCAAACTCTGCCGCTAGAGCTTCAGCCATTTCGGGATCGTAACTCCCCGGGATTTTCTTAGCTGCAGCCAGCATACACTGCCCCTCGGCATTCCGAATCACAACGCCCAATCCACTTCCTCCCGATGGGAGTACTCCCGCATCCGTATTCACCTTCAGTAATCCCTGCTGGGGTTTTTGCCATATCTTGAGATAGGTACTTTCCTCCCTGTCTTCTTCGCGGTTTTGGTGCTCCCTATAATTATCAATCCATAACTTTGCTCGGGAAACAATCTCATGCTCACTCAACCTGAAGCCGTTGAAGAGGTGGGCATTGCGTTCCTTCCATAGGAACCATAAAAGAACCGCCCAGTCTTCCAGTTCCCTCTCAGTCTTTGTTTCCATGACCGCCTTCAGCCACTCGTAGCAGCTGTCGGAAGTGCGACATAGAAAACAGTCCGCCAGCTCCGAGTTGCGCCACAATCTGGATGACCATTCACACTCTCCAAATCTGTGTACCTGGGTCTCCCTTGCATTGCAAAATGGGCATTCATCACTCCATCTTTTACTCTTCACAGCTATATGGTTCCCAGTGGGCAGTATATCACGGGCAAATCGCCAGAGAAAGTGTCTGACTTTGGGTGGAATCCGCAGCCCCCATATGCGCTTCCAGACACGAGTTTCGCCCACCATGGTGATGTTTTCCTTGACCTTAAACTCCTCCAGCCAGAGCTTGTAGGCTTCCTTTACACTGTACTCCCCCGACGAGCTCCATTTCCACACCAGTCTGTCTTGCTCCATCGGGTCTCGAAGAGGTATGGTGCGAATGACCTTCGCTGTTTCCGAGGAGAAGCAGGCTTCAAGGAGCGCTTCATCCCATTGATCCGCGTTCGGGGAAATCAAGTCCCTCACCACTGCGTCAACTGGTAGGCCTATCGGGGTCGTCTCCACAAAAGCCGACGTTGGCTTCGGGAGCCACTGATCGCCCCAGATCCTGATCAAAGCGCCATTTCCCACTCGCCATCTTAATCCGCTGTTTAAAAAATCCTGAGCACTGATCAGACTCCGCCAGATAAAGCTTGGGCGATACCCCAAGGATGCCTCCAACACCGAGCTGTTCTTATAATATTTTGCTCTCAGAATCCGCGCCGTTAGAGATTCTGGGCGCTGGTGGATTCGCCAGAGCTGCTTTGCCAACATCGCCGTATTGAAGCCATGTAGATCACGCAATCCAAGGCCCCCCTCCTCTTTTGCACACGCCATTTCCACTTGTCGGATCCAATGCGCTCTTCGTTCCGTTCCTTTTTGGCCCCAGTAGAAATTTGTAATGAGGCTTTGCACTTCGTTAAGGACGGCCGTAGGCACACGAAACACTGACATAGCGTATGTAAATTGGGCCTGTGCAACAGACTTGATGAGAACCTCGCGACCCGCCACTGACAAGACCTTCTCCTTCCACGATTTCAGCTTCTTCCTTACCCTGTCAATAATGCCCTGAAAGATCTCCTTTTTCGAATGGCCAACCACCGTAGGGAGACCCAAATATTTCTCATGTTTTTCAACAATCGCCATCCCCATCACACCACTGACCATCAGACGTTGGTGCGGTCTAACGTTGCCACTGAAAGAGACTGCTGATTTCCGGAAATTGACCTGCTGCCCCGATTCTTTTTCATAGGCGAGTAGAATTTCTTTTAAGTTACAAGCTTCCCCCTCCGTAGCTCTGCCAAAAAATATACTGTCATCGGCGAAGAAGAGATGTGATACACAAGGCGCCCCTGCTGCAGCTTGAATACCGTGGATCTTCCCTGCCTGTACAGCTTTTTTTGTGAAAGCCGACAAACCCTCTGCACATAGCAGAAAGAGATACGGGGAGATTGGATCGCCCTGTCTTAAGCCTCTTTCCGGAATAAAAGTTTGGGACTGATGGCCATTGACCAGCACTGAGTATGAAACTGTCCGGACACACATCATTATCCACTCAATCCATTTACCTGCGAAACCCATTCTCTGCATAATATTTTCCAGAAACCACCATTCCACCCGATCGTAGGCCTTTGCCATATCGATCTTTGCTGCAAAAAAACCTGGTCCCTTACTTTTGTTCTTCTTCTTCATTGTGTGGAAACATTCAAACGCCGCCATTATGTTATCAGATATAAACCTGCCAGGAACAAAGGCACTCTGTTCCTGAGATATGACACCATCTAGTAAGACCTTCAGTCGGTTTGCCAGCACTTTTGCGATCAGCTTATACAGGACATTGCACAGGCTTATTGGCCGAAATTCTTGTGGTGTTGTAGGCTTCTTCGTCTTTGGGATGAGTGTTATGAGAGTATGATTAAGATTCTCCGGCATAACTCCTGTATCCAGGATCCGGATCACTGTATCCACTACATCATCGCCAATGACGTTCCAGTACCTGCGAAAAAACAAGACAGTCATTCCGTCAGCTCCTGGGGCCTTTCGTTTGCCCATTTGCTTCAGCGCCCTCACAACTTCATCGCGCTCCCATGGCCGGGTTAGCATAACGTTTTGTTCGTCGGTGATGGTCCTATCAATGGCATCCAGAACTGGGGTAGCGGCCGGGACGTCCCCTGCATGGAAAAGAGATGTGAAAAAAGACACCATGCATTGCGAAACTTGGTCTGTGCCGACGCTCCATCCACCACTGCTATCCTTCAGCTTCCGGATTGTGTTTCTCCGTCTTCGAGCTGTTGCTTTCCTATGGAAAAAATTGGTGTTCTTATCTCCCGAACGTAACCAGTCCGCATTTGATCGCTGCTGCCAATATAATTCTTCATTTCCTTCCAACTCCAGCAATTCCGCTTCTAGCTGCTTGATTTGTGCAACCACTTGTGGTCCTTTCCTCGCTCGATCAAGTGCACGCAGGGCCCTCCTTATGCGTTCCTTTTGTTTGCCAAATTGGGGAAATGTAGCTCTACTCCATTTATCCAGTTCATTCCTGCAAAATAGAAGTTTTGTTAGAGCATCACCTCGGCCACCCCGCCTCCAAGCTTCCTCAATCACCGCCGGGCAGTCCGTATGCTTTGTCCAATGGGCCTCAAAACGAAACATCCATCCCCATTTCGGTTCAACATCTTCATCACCATTCGTGTCACAAACAATTGGGCGGTGATCAGACTTGAATTTGTCAAGGTGTCGCACTACCGCCTTGGGGTAGAGGTCACCCCACTCTAGCGATGCCAGGAAACGGTCCAGTCGTTCCTCAATAAAGCCACCAGTCGTTCTATTATTGACCCAAGTGAATTTATGTCCTTGGAACCCCAGATCCTAGAGCCCCGTCGTCAACAGCGAGTCCTTAAAGGCTGCCATGGCCGCTGAGTTAGTTGGCCGACCTCCTTCCTTCTCATCGCTGTCCAGAATCTCATTAAAGTCACCTCCGCGGAGCCAAGGCCCCTCCCAATGGTGAGAAAGGCTTGCCATTAACTCCCACGTTCTATACTTCTCCCCATCCTCTGGCCACCCGTATATGCCAGTAAACCTCCAGACTTTGTTACTTTGATCAACCACTTTTACATCAATATGGTGAAGAGACCGCGTCATTACCTCGATCTCAGTCTCCTCGCGCCACCATAGACTAAGTCCGCCTGCTCTCCCACCTCTAGACCTGTCGGTAGCAAAGCTCTTGCCAAACTTATAGTCCAATTCAAGACGTGTAACTTCATTTTCTTCTTCGGTCTGCTTGGTTTCCATAAGGAAAACCACATCTGGGGAAATTAATCGCAAAAGCGATTTTAGCGACTTCACTGCTCGCGTACTCCCCAATCCGCGGCAGTTGTAGCTGAGGATCCTCATCTATGACCCAAAGGGGATGGGCTCCCCGCGCCATTTCGTTGTGGTATATTGTTCCGCCCACCATCACCTTCTCTAAATTTTTCACGGTTACTCTCCTTACCCAGCTTTCCACCCTGCTTCAGAATGCTTTGTTTCGGCGCTGGGTTTTTCCCATGGTTTTGCTGGGGTGCAACTTCATTTCCTTTCCCAATTGGCATATTGCTCTTTTTAGTGGTCAAACCACGACCCTGACCCACTATATTTTGTTCTTCGCCTTTGGATGTATCCACCTTCTGTGCTTCTTTATTGTTCACTTGCTTTGCATGGCTCGTCGACGTAGTTTCTTCTATATTTGTCCTTTGAGTCACCTTGCGTCGCGTTACCTCTTCATGTTTTTTCCCAGGTGTCCTATACATGTTTCGTTCGACCTCCGCAGGCTTGTCTGTTTGCGTCTCATCTCCCAGCACCTCAAACCGATTATGCTCTTCGTCCATATTACCCATCCGCTTTTGGATATCTCCCTTCGAACCAAAACCATTACCTCGTTTTTGCATCCGCCTGTCCCTACGTTTCACCATCATCCAGTCTCCATAGACAGGTCCCTTCTCTGGTTCAACATCTTGCGTTTCTGGTACCATCTCAACCGACTCCGCTACCACCTCAATAGGGTTCTTACAGTGGCAGTGATTAGTCGGTCTCCCATAAGTCCCACAGTCCGTGCATATGTTCTCAAGTCCTTCATACTGGATTAGGTACTCGACGCCTTCAATTTTGTATTTCGATAGCAACGGCTTCATTAGGTCCACCTCCACACATACTCGGGCAAATTTGCCTCTTGCACCCTCCTCTGTAGCCCTGTCAACCCGTGTTGGATTTCCGATCAGCTTTCCGATTTTCATAGCAGCTTCCTTGTTAATGAACTCTATCGGTAGCTCCGGGAGCTGTACCCATACCAGTGTTGACGTCACTTCGGTCTTCCATGGGTTAAAACCCTTAAACCATCGCATCACTGTTAAGTAAGTCTCTCCCATCATCCACGGCCCCCCATTTGTGGCTATCTCATAATCCTCCTTTCTCCTAAAACGAACCAGATAGTAGCCGTTCTTTATGTCTGAAATCTGAATATCACCATGTTTGGCCCACAGGAAGTTAAGACGACGGGATAGCGCCAGATACGGAACCTTCCTCCCCAAGCCTTTCACCACCAAAGCCGAACGCCATTCTCTTCTCCACCTTATCTTCTCCGCTGCCGTGAAAGAGACAGTTGGGCATAAGGGGTCGTTTTCCATCTCATCAGCCATGTCATCCTCTTCCCTGTCCGCCTACACCACATCTTCTGTGTCGGATTCAGCTATGTACCAGGTATCTTGTTGAACAACGTCACTGAATCGTCTCCTTGTTCCATCTTTCCACACAGGGTTCCCCGTCGTTTGATTACCGTTCGCCGTCGTAGAAAACTCTTTCATAATAGAATTTTTGTCTAATTTAAAACTAATTCGACATTTTTTGCCCTATTTCAACTTCTGGTTTCCCTCGATGATTCTCTTCACCTATTATCATGTCAAGTTGACTCCTTTATATTATATGCATTGTGATGTGGGTGAACCCACAAACCCACCCGCATCATCCACCATCCGCCCGACCCAACCCGAGACTAAATGTGGGTGGGTGGTGGGTTAAAAATTATCAATCCGTTTAAGCGCAAGTGGGTGCATTTTATGGTAAAAATCCACCCGACCCACCCAATGCCCACCCCTACAATTCCATAATAGATAATACACGTTTGATACAAAAAGGTCACAACTCACAATGTTAAGTTCAATCTTTTTTATGGGTTAATTGCAAGGTTGGTCACTGAGTTTACTAAAAACGTTTATGTTTGGTCACTGCAAATATTTAATTTCATTCATGGTCACTAAGATTAGTTCAATAGTTCAAGTTTGGTCACTCTCCGTTAGTCTCCGTTAGTTTTTGCTGATGTGACAGTCAACTATTATAGTTGACCGTTAAATGAGTGACGTGACCATTAAAAAAATATTATAAAAATAAAATTTAAACATTTACTATTTCCACCTCATTTTACAATTATTAAAAAATAAATCTTAATTCCTATTATTCTATAAACAAAAACAGGGGACAAAACATTATTTCCTCGCGCCTCCTTCTCTGCATATATTCGGAATCGGTAAGGGATTGCGGTTAACTTTGCAGTTTACGAAATTGGGACTCTGAGTGCGGCAGTTCTTCAGCCGGAGAGGTTGAGGGCCGAATAGTAACCAAAGGCAGCGGAATGAGCGGGGCAGCGATGGAAGGAGGTGTTTGTGTTGGTGCCGACGGTGGTGGAGGAGGAGGAATGGAGATGAGGAAGATTCTTAATTGCTCGTTTCTTCAAGCTTTCCTCCCACACAGACACCACTTAACTGCCCCTTTCTTCAGATCCTTTTGGGCATAACTACCTGAATGGCTAAACCTCGCCCTAATTTATTTTATCGCACTAACTTTAAAGTCTAAAATTACTTAAAGAATCTTAAAGAATCAACTACAAAATTCACAAAACAAACAATCCCTATCTCCTCATCGTGAGAAAATACATCTCCCAGGAGATGCCCGTCTACCTGGTGGTGGCCATTAGAAAGCTTTGAGCTTCGACTTCTTCTCCGATCGACCGTTCATCACTTGAGTAACAGAAAAAAAAAATTAGTCCAACAAAATTGGAAAAGAATTAAATTGATGAGAATTTATAAATCTGCAGGGAGTATAATTTAATTTGGAAACCTAACTGAGAGATGATCGAAGCGCTATGGTTCCAGTGGAAAGTGAAGTAGCTTAGGATGTATTTCTCGAGTTTCTCCACCAGCTTCCCGGACAGCTTTCGCCCCTTTGTCGCTGTCGTTTCTGGTGAAGTAATCGCAAATGTTGTCCTCGAATCCCTCGATTTTCCTCAGGTAGTCGTACGCCATCTTGCACAATTGTTGGCACTCGCTCGGATATGAGAACTCTACTGCCTCACCACACAGTGCGAGAACCTCTCCACCTTCCTGCCGCTGCCTCATCCAGCCTCGAGATGACTCGCTTGCTTACTCTCAGTCTCCGCGGTAGTAATCGCCACGACCGCGATGACGAACAGAGCATATCCCAGTCTCTGCAGGAGCTGCATCGCCAGATTAACGTTGTTATCTCCCCCCGGAGATGGCCCTAGTACACCAATTCAATTGAAAAGGAGATTGAGGAAAGGAAATCAAAAGCGGCAATAGGGCACACATCTCCTCTGTTTTTCTTTCTCTCTGGTTCCCTTCTCTGTTTTGATTCCGCAACGGAAAACGGAGGTGAGAATTTGCTTGTTTTTTCCCCCCTCAAATAAAGTGTTGTTTGTTTAAATAAAAGGTTTAAAAAATAAAAGGATACAGATGTAATTCTAATTTTTAAGTTAGGGCGATTATAGTAAAATCTAGGGCGACACTTAGCAACTCCCATAATTACTCCCTAAATATTTACTGATTGCACATTTCACCCGAAATTGTTGCCCAAATCATCCATCTTTTAATCTTACTTATTTCTTTCCGTGAATGAATCAGAAACAAAAGAAAAAAACAAGTTATACATCATTGAAAGCATAGATGATAGATGCCCTCTCCATAATGAAAACCAAAATCATCACATCACCCTAATGAAAGTTAGTGATGAACTAATGGTGGGTAACATTCTCGTCTTAAGTAAAAAGACTTAAAAACTTCCTTAATTTTTTTTCAGTCGGTAAGAAGAAAAAAAAAGAGAGAGAGAAAAGAGGTCTAACCATCATAGTGACAATATTTAACATTTAAAAAATAAAATTTGAAATAAAAAATATTCATTCTCTCCATCGCTCGACTTGCAATGGTATTATTCAAGTTTGTAATAGGAATAAAGTTTTATTTTTAATTTTTGTAAATGAGGTGGAAATTGTAAATATTTAAATTTTATTATTTTAATATTTTTTAATGGCCACGTCACTCATTCAACGGTCAACTATAATAGTTGACTGCCACATCAGCAAAAACTAACGGAGAGTGACCAAACTTGAACTATAGAACTAATCTTAGTGACCATGAATGGAATTAAATATTTTCAATGACCAAACATGAACGGTTTTAGTAAACCCAATGACCAACCTTGCAATTAACCCCTTTTTTATGGTATAACAAAAAGATAATTTCATATTTTGTTAGTTTGTTACACTCAGCACTTCATGTCACCAAAATTATTAATAAAAGATTGATATTCCTTTGCATTTGGTGCATAACAGCTTCCCGCCTTTTTCTCATCCCATCCAAATATTCTAAAATACCATTCCTTCCATTTCAGTCTTATGTATCAACACCATAGAATTCTCATCACTCTCCTTTGCTCCTTGAATATTCTTGCAGAAACAACACCAGAGTATGAACATCACTAGAACAAGTGATCATGACTTACTCCCTTCTTATCACTTAGAGGGCAATGACTAGAATTAGTGCAGCCTCATTCCACCAGCTTATCTCTAGTAGCTATTTGATTAATGATAACAAGGCAGGACAGGATTCTATATCTTGGAATCACAAATTTTCCCCACAACACTTTGTACCATTTCACTTTCTATCCTCTTGGTCTGATGGATTGCCAAACAACCTTAACCGAAAATTTTGGTAGAGGATGTCCCTGGCAAGTAATCTGCATATGTTGGTCCACCTTAATTCTGTACAAATACCAAGGTTTGAGTTTAATAGCTTCCTCCACAACCAGGGGCGGAGCTACGTAGGCTCTCGGGGGGGCCCGGCCCCCCCGAGAATTTTGAAATTTACGTATAAAGTCCTAGGAAATACCGAGAATTACGTATAAACTCAATCTAACAAGTATATAGAATTCGAGTGAAGTATTCTTACCAGCGCAGATGTTTAGTGTAGCGGAGAAGCCATGCAGTTGTAGCCAAAAGGTTCAGGGTTCGACTCTGATAGTCAGCATTGATTTTATAATTTTAACAGTTTTTTTCCAGTTTAATCCTCTAATTTTTCTATTTTGTCTTATAAATTCTGTAATTTCAAATAAATTCAGTCAAGTTCTTAAACTTTTACATTCATATTTTCAAAGATTGTTTTTGGATATGTAATTAATTAATTTTTAAAAACAATAATATAATCATAAATTCATATTCAAGGTATAAAACAATTACATGTTAAAATGCATGATAATTTTTGCTCACACTATAAACATTTATTTTGAGTATAACATACTAGCAAACTTTAAATTATTTATATTTTGAGTTTTTTATTTTAATTAATATGTGTCGTTATTATTTATTTTTATCTTTGGATTTTTACAATAATTTACTAAATAAATCCGCCCCCCCCCCCCCCCCCCCCCCCCCGAACTTTCAATCCTGGATCCGCCCCTGTCCACAACCATCCCTTTAATATATACTTCTCGATCCATACTAGTGATATGAATCGAGGCTCAAGCTCCTGGATTCAATGGTTATCAAAGTACGCAGCCAACTTCGATCTTCAAGATACATCACTCGTACACAATGATAAAGATGGAACACTATCAAACAATCTCAACATGTGAGAAAGGCCAATCGCTATTTTGGTAGAACTCACCACAACTAGATGTGATCTTCTATTTGATAAGAGACGCGCAAACTCCTGGAATCCTCTACAGAAATTTGGGCAAATGTTCACAAAGGAACACGAGATAACTCTCTATATTGATTGATAAAATTTTCGATAATCCATTACAATAGAACTGGACCCATTTATATAGGCTACATAAATCAAATCGAAAATTAATAAAGAAGACGAAAACGTAAGCAAAAAATAAAGTAAATTTGCCCATTACATAGAATCCATAAAGGATTTGATTAACCACCATTCCCTGTAGGCTAAGTAAATGGAATTCCTTTTGAGCCAAGAACTTCTTAAAGCCCCTCCTTCAATCCTTCAATTCGCCACCTTCCTCCAAGAATTGCAACAACATTATGACCTTATTTTTTAGTAGATCCACGTCCATACTAGCAAAGTAGTTGCCCAAGTAGTTTGCAAATTGTTCTCTCAACTTCTTGGCCTTTGGACATGTAAGAGGACTCTCCTCTAGTCTAGTGACCTTGGTCTTGATGACCTCATCATTCCCTTCCTCTTGAAATGGATTTTCCCTCGAATGCGAATTGTTATTCATATATTGTGCAGGATCAGAAATATTGAAGGTTGCATTTATCTCGTACTCATCTGGAAAGTCAAATTTGTAGGCATTACTCCCAATCTTCGAAATCACTTGGAAAGGATCTTCACAT